GACGGAAACGGGCTGGTGCCCGAAAAGAAAAAGGTTGCCTGAGGTGGCAGAGGGGGACCTGTGCTAAGCGCTAGTTTGGAAGAGGCACGTTGCTTGGTTTGTTTTACCTGCTGCTTGTGCCGAGTCTCTGCGGCGCGCTGCGCTCCCGACACGGGCACAGGAGGTGCCGTGGGAGCGGAATGATTTCCTATGGAAATGGTACTTCCTAAACGCCGCTTTCCGTGTGTTGTGTGAGTGTTCAGCGCCTTTAAGGGGAGTAGAAGAGTGCAATGCTTTTTTTCCAGTGCAGTTTAAAATTATCAGTGGTGGATGCTGTTTTGAGAGGTAGCGTGCCGATGCTTATGAATGAATAAATGTCACAGCAATTCGGAGCCGATGGAAAACACTTCCTTGCAGTGTAACAAGCAGAGCACGTGCAATAGGGATGATTATTGTCTGCTCATCAGAATTGTGCTTCTTCATAGTTTTTATAAAAAGCCTTTTCAGGGGACTACCAATGGATTGCAGTGGGATCAGCCAGAGTAACAGTGTTTTCTTTCTTTCCTGTTGCAGTCTGCTAGATGACTTCTTCAAGAGGACATGCGGAAGTGCTCAGTGCCAGAAGAACAGAACCCCGTGACATTTCAGATATTACTGGCCTCTTCAGCAGTCTGACAGAAGTAGTTTTTGGAAGAACTGATGCCGCATACCTTTTGTAAGTAGCAGTAGTTTAAGAACTTGATTAAGGGACTTGAACATCTCTCCTATGAAGAGACACTGAGAGAACTGGGGCTGTTCAGCCTTGAAAGGAGATGGCTGAGAGGGGACCTAATTACCGTAGTGAAGTATCTGAGGGGTGGGTGTCAAGAGGAAGGAGACAATCTCTTCTCAGTGGAGCCCAGTAATAGAACAAGACATAATGAGTTTAAGTTAGAACATAGGAAGTTCCACCTCAACATGAGGAAAAACTTCTTCCCTGTGAGGGTGCCAGAGCCCTGGCACAGGCTGCCCAGAGAGGGTGTGGAGTCTCCTTCTCTGGAGACTTTCAAACCCACCTGGACACGTTCCTGTGTGGCTGCCGTGGGTGATCCTGCTCTGGCAGGAGAGGATTGGACTAGATCTCTAAAGGTCCCTTCTAACCCCCAACATTCTATGATTCTATGACATTTTATTACCTTTCTTGCAGGGAACTTCAAGCAATTATGTTACACTTTAAAAAGGCAGAAAATGTGATGAGCTTTTACATGATGTGGCATAATTAGGCTGTTCACAAAAAGGGAAAGTAAATCTGCTTCCGAGTCTTCTCTGTATCACCCCTGCATGGCTCTGCAAGTTTGGATCACTGCTGCTAGCATGGTGGGCAAGGAAGTATAGCTTCCTTCTTATCAAAGTTCAGAAGAAATACTCTTGAGTAATACTTGATGAAACCAGAGTCAAATGTCTCAGGTACCACCTATGTGGGGAAAAGACACATGCATGAAGAAACATAGAAAGAAGAGGGAGCGTTTAAGTATTGCACATCAAATTCAATCGAGGGCTAAAAAAATCTTATGAATTGTTATAATGTCGGAACACACTAAAATATTTGAAATGGAAGCAGTAATGTCAGGCTAGGATGTGGGTAATGAGGTTTTACTGAGGCCTAATCTAGGGAGCACTTTTTGAACATGGTTAGTTTTACTGTTCTTGTGGGCTAAATTAACAGTCAGTCATTTTTTTCGTGTAGTTTTTTCAACTTCTGCAAAACTGAATTGCTTTCACAGAGAAAAAGCAAATCTTGCTTTGACACTCTGCAATGAGAAGAATGAGGTTATAGCCCATGCTGCCTTTCTGGACTATCCAAATTGGGATATCACTGATCAGTCTGACTGGGAATCATTCTTACGTGAAAACTACATTAACAATAAATGCACTGTAAGTAGAAATATTCCACCTACACGTAGGCCTTTATTGACTCAGTGCTTGAAATTAATATGCAAGAGAAACCAACTGAATTAACAATACTTTTGTTCTAGCTCAAGGGTTTTCCTTTTCTAGTGTGTTCCAGGTTAACTGGGAGCATAAAGAGTAAAGATGTCACACAGTCTGTCTCATTTTTATCTGGAGATTTAAATGTGTCAAAATAATCTTGAGACTTTGTAATTTTTCTTCTTTTAAAGAAAAAACATTTTAGGAGTACGAGAAGTTTGAGAACTTTGGGTTTGTTTTTTTTTTTTAAACCCAGAAGGGGTGTCTTTTATCAGCCAAATGTTAAATTACATGTTATTAAGATTTAAGCTGTTATTAAGATTAAGTTGTTAATTGTTGTGGTTAAATTAAAATGTTGTTAGTCTGGAATTAATACTGTTAAATATCAAAAGATGTATGTGTATTCTAGTCAAAAAATAGTAAGCTTGAATGCAAATCAAAAATATTACAGAAGCACAAACTTTGATATATAAAAGAAGTTCTTTAATAACTTTATCCACACATGTTTTGAATCTATGTACGTATGTGAAGCTACTAATTTCAAGTGCAGGTCATATATATTGGAAATAAATGTGCATAGTAATGCTTGGCTTAATAAGCATTAGCTGCATGGTGTTTAGATTTTCATTCCTGATTTTGTAGCCTTTGAACACATTGTTCATGCATCTTTTTGTGGCAAAAGAAGAATACGCAGCTGCGTGTTCCCAAGAAATTCTTAGGTGAGTTCACAGGTAACTTTGTGTAGTGAAGCATCTGCTACCATTGATAGGAGAGGCTATGGAATTAAAAAATGCCTTAAGGGGATCACTGGATCAAAAATAAATCTCTCTCTAAGTGGTTAAAGAATGTAATAAAATGTAACCTTGTGTTAATCAAAGGGGCACAGTTCACTTTGAAACTATTGCTTGGGTTATTTGGTGTGTAGTTGTCTGAGCAGTGAATTGCCCTTGGTGCTCTTGCTGTTGAATTTACAGTTACCTGGCTAGGTCAGGGAAGCTCATCCAGATGCCAGGTCAGAGATCTGCCAGCAAACATCTGACTTCTTTAATTTTTTCACCACAGAGGAACAGATAAAAAGGGGGATGTCTGAAATCTAAGGATTATAAAATTAAGAGAGAAATAAGGTAGAAAAGACAGTAAAAAAAGTGCCCAGATCAATTTCATATGGTCTTATTTGTCATAAATGTTTCAAATTTTGAGCCATGTGGACTCATGAAGGAGAATGACAGATGCTGGTGATAAGAATTTAAGATATTAAAAGACTGTATCTGCTGGATATAATGATGAAAGTCTGAATGCAATTACGTTACTTGTGCAGGAGAGCTTTTGTCACAGTACCCGAACTGCAGTTCATACTTCTCTTCATACCAGCTGATGAGAATTTAGGTAAGAATCTATTACTATTTTATTCATAAAATGAGAACAATCTCAAATCTCACGATCATTAATATGCAATGTGGTGGTGGGGTCTTTGCGGTTCTTATTTTTTAAATATTCAGAACAGTTAGAAAGCAAACTATTCTCTAAAGAACACACTCTGTACAAGAGGTTTATATGGTTACATGTTTGCTGCTGTCCATTCAGCAGTCAGTCCATTTCCTGCAGTCTTTAAATTTGCCAGAAGTAGCTAGAACTTCAAACAGGAGTAAATATGTCAGAAATAAATTCCTACAAGTTTTGTGAATATTTCTGGCTGAAGAGAGTCAAGAGATTGAAGTCAAGTACTTTCTCTTATTTAGCCAAGTGAGTAAGAGGTGGGGAGAAGACACTTTGAGGCTGAGAAGAGGTGCTGGAGACATAGAAGGGAACTAGGATAACTTCTTTTAGAGCAGAGGTGCAAAGGTGAGGAATGCACATCTTGACCAGAGAACAGCACCTGACTTGGAACTTCAGCTGTGAATTCAGACGAATAAACCAAGTGTCTACTTAATGCCGGATTATGGGGGTTTTTTATGCTTAGAGATATACTGATTTGTAGACATCTTAGTTCCAAGTCATACTAAAAAAAAAATTCCTTAATGGTATGTTAAGTACAGAAAACAGTACCTGAAAAAAGGGGTTTTGGCCAACCTACCCTAGCAACAAATGCCAACTCGCTTCCACTTAATGAGTCCTGACAGAGATTCTCCAGGGGCACATGGTATTGGTTATAACACTAGTGTTTCTGTAGGGATTCGATCCTACCAATTTCTGATTGCTTTGAGGCTTATTCAGATTTGGGATGCTGGATTAATTAACAAATTAATCCAGTAACAATTCTTTCAGATGTTTATACTACTGTCATTTGAGCTTCATTGTTTCGCTTAAACGACCTGGAACATTATGCCATCTGTGGCTTAAACTGAAAACTCCCATTTTCCTCAGACAGTTTTGGTGATTATTTAAAAGCTTGTATAGTGAGGTTTGTCTGTTGCTCCAAACAGATTTTGTCATTCACAGAGCCATACATGGGAAATGTCTTTGAAAAGATGGCAGCTGCTCCCGGATCAGCGGTGGACACAAACTTTACCCTGCTTGTGTGCCCCAGACACTGGCATCACCCACAGCTCCATGTTCGCCAAGCAAGGTAATGCAGTTTCTCCTTTTTGTGAGCAGATCTGTCTGGGTTAATCTGAAGAATTTTCGGTTTTGGTTTACAGCATAAGTATCTTAAACTGCTATGATTTTCCTTGATAACCTAATTAAGTAGTTCTATGATTATGCTGGTTTTATTCTACTTCAAAAGACCAACTGTATTTTTTGTAAAAAATAATTTGCTACCTAGAAAGAATATATTTTGTGTTGGTGATGTTTATTCTGTGACTGCTGGCAGAATTGCATCACTGAGTGTTTTAGTGAGCACTTGTAGTTTCCAGATGTCTTGGAGCATCGTCCAACTTGTTACGTCATATGCTGATCAGTTCAGTTTCCTTTGAGTTGTGTACCATCTATCAGCAAATGAACGAATCTTAATACTAAGAATTTATTAACAGGTGATTTAATTAATCCTGACAATTTCAAGTTTTTCCATATGTCTTGATTCCAACTATTATGTGGGTCTTTAATTTGAATCATTCTTTCTTTTGATGGCCATTGGATATTATCAACAGAAATATTTTTGACACGACTGGGAGTATCATGTAGGCTGTACCATTATTCCACATAAGACATACCGTGTTGCCTGGGACTTCTGTAGTTTGTTACAAATAATAAAAATTATTTACTTTAGGTTTTATTATTATTATTCTTAGAGAACAAACCACGAAACTGTTTTTTTTTCCTCTTAAATTACACAGTATCTGATGATATTGTCTCTTCAGGAGATTCTCTGAGCAAGCTAAATTCTATTTGCAATAGACACTTTGCCTTTCCTTTTTGTCTGTATTCACCTTTTTACTTCACTGGCATCTATAGAAACATTTAGTGCAGCCCTTCAGAGGCTTATCTATGAAAGTTGTCCCCAGCCACCTGCCTAGCAAGATGTTCTGGGTCAGTAACAGGAGATTAGGGTAATCTCTGTTCCCTCTTCCCCTGCCTACAGAGAGGGGAAGAAGCTGTAAACTGATACTTTGCTTTGCCATTAATTTTGAAGTTATTCTCCATCTGACATTTATTATGTGAAATAAACCTGTAGTGTGCCAGAACACAGTCTACTAAGCTTTTGTATTTAAGGTTCTTGCAGATATCTTGCCTAGATCCTGTCATTCTTGGGTTTTGTACCATTTATGCAAGAGCCCACAAATTTGCAGCACTGTGGAAAGCCTCTATTTGCTTGTTCTTGCAGTATAGGGATTTTGTAGTATTTTTATATTAAAAACTGTTTTGGGGGTGTTTTAAAGACTGTGGTACTGGTGGAAGATATTAAAAATAGGGAAAAAAAAATAGTTCTGTTCGTCCAGTTTCTAGTGTGCAGGGAGATGAATGGGCTTATGTGGAGCCTCATTCACTGCTGTGAGGTCAGTCTTGGCATGGCCAGCTACAGTGTCGTGTGTGGCCGTGGGTCACATCGTGTCTTAGAGCAATACGCTGTCAGGACTTGGAGCAATCCGCAAAATGTTCCATTTGGAGGTGTGGGTGTGTGTGTGTGTGTTATCTGCCTCAGTGAAACAACAGCTTTCAGTTACAGCAGTCTCATTCCTCTATCCCTTAGTTAGTTTGGTTTGAGGTCATTATCGGATTTGCTATACTAGTGGTGTTGAAGTAATGTGGTTTTGATTACAGAAAACCTTACTGCAGCTTTTCTCTGGAGATAGTGCCTGTGAAGAAGAGGAGGACTGTGGTTTTAGTTTGAGATGTAAAGAATGTGGATTACTGTAGATTTTACAGGGGTTTGTTGGTTTTGGAACTTCATTTTAGTTGCATCTTTCAAATTACTTCTATAGACAAGTAACCGATGTGTTGTATTTTCTGTATTTTTTCCTTTTGAAAGTTATTTATTACAGTGAAGATTCTCTCACTTAAACAGTGGAAAAGAACAAAAAAGTACAGGACTTGGAAATATGTCTCCCCTGGCAGCTGTTATCCAGCTTTGAGCCGGCAGTGGTGACATCTCTGCTGGTTTCTCAGGTTGCCTTTCTTCACTTAAAGACTGTACGGCCGCCCTTCAGACGAATAATTGATTTAAAACTGGCAGATGGAGTAGTACTGTGACTTGGGATATTGTAAAGGTCGTGAGTGAAGCACTGACTTGCCCAGCTGAGGCGACGGATCGCTGGCCCGTGCTTGCCCCGGGGGCACCGTGGCTCCCTGGCACTCTGTCCCGTGGGCTGACCTTGGGATCTGTGGGGCCTTCTCCCCGGGCAGGTGGTGGGAGTAAGGAGAGCTTTCAGGCAGATGGCCCGAGAATTAAAAAAAAAAAAAAAAAAGAGAAACAACATCAAAATAAAAAGAGGTCTCTGGCCTCTAGCAGAAAGATAATCTTACTCAGAAGGTCACATTCTGGTGTGTAAGAGCAGCTGAAAATATCTAGATAACACCTGTTGGTTTGATAAAATAAGAGTGTTTCTAATACATCTAAATAATGAAATAAAGACCCTAGTCCTCTGTTTCTTTCCAGTGTTTTAAGTACACAGGCCAGATATGCCCCTTGAAGAGACACACGGAGTCAGGACCAGTGGGGTTAGGGATACTTCTTTTCTTTCTGTTTATCGTTGTGTTAACTTTAAGGCTTCTTCCAAATCTAAAAACATGTAAAGAGTGGAAATGAGAATCAGTTTGTGTTTTTCTGAATAGCTGCCTACGCAGAGCTAAGATTTTCAAGTAATTGGTACAAATATTTAGATACAAGCACATACAGACTGGAGTGACAGGAGCCTGAAGGAAAACACAACTTTTCCGAAAACGGCAGGAAGTGCTTACGACCATTCACAATAGCTATCATCAGAAACACGTTTCTACGACGTAACTGCCGAAGAAGAGGACTGTTCGGAAATATTTCGGTGTGTGCGCGCTCCGGGCCGCCCCTGAGGCCGCGGCCGCTAGAGGTCAGGCGCGGCACGCCGGCGGGAAAAAGGCTCCCGCGGGGGAAGGGCGGGAACGGCGGGAGCCGGAGGAATCCACTCATCGCGTTGGTAAAAGCACCGAAACTTAATTTTTACAAGTGGTTTAATGACTGATTAGATGAAAACCCGTGCAGTATAGGGCCTGTGTAAGCCTAGCACAGAAACTAGGCGGGAAACTGGCTGGGGCAGCTTTGGCGGCGGCAGGATGGAGGGCAGAGGAGCAGGGAGGAGTGCTCCGGGCTGTTGAAGCCCTGATGCAGCAGGTACCCACCGATGCAGAGAGCTTTTTCACGGGATAGAATGATTGCACTTTGGCCTTTGTATCTCTTTCAGTGGTGGAGCATTAACTTGACCTTACAAAGGCGTAATGGCTTTGTTTTTGGGAGGGGGC